AACTGAGTTCACTGGGTTTTATCATGGATCATGAATAAGTATTAACTTGATTCTACAATCTCTGCCAGATAGTTATTCATAGTTCATTATGAATTTTAACATGAATAAGATCGAATGCACACTCCCTGAGTTGCTTAATATGCTTAAAACTGTGGATCCCAATGTCAAGGCTAGCACTGGGCATGTCTTAGCTATTCATTCCTCCAAGGGAACTAAGAGGAAAATCAAAGGAAGTTTTAAGAAAATATCCAAAAAGGCTAAGGGCAATAACAAAGCAGTCAAAGCAGGCAAGGACAATACCAAATCTGATGACCCATGTTATCACTGTGGAGTGAAAGGTCATTGGAAGAGGAACTGCAAGGCTTACCTCGCAAGTTTGAAGGGAAAGAAGTCTTCTGAAGCTTCTACTTCAGGCACTTTTGTTATCGAGGTTAATATGTCTATTTCATTAGCTTCTTGGGTATTAGATACCGGATGTGGATCTCATATTTGTATAAATATGCAGGGACTAAAGATAAGTAGAGCACTGCAGAAAAGAGAAGTTGACCTGAGCGTGGGAAATGGAGCAAGAGTTGCTGCATTAGCTGTAGGGACATACTTCTTACCACTGCCTTCAGGATTAGTATTAGAATTAAAGAATTGCTATTTTGTTCCCACCATTACTAAAAACATTATTTCTATTTCGTATTTAGATATGAGTGGTTTTTCAATTAATGTTAAGAACAATCGTTGTTCATTTTATAAAGATGAGATCTTTTATGGTTGTGGTGTGTTACAGAATGGAATTTATATTCTTGATACTGAGTCGTCTATTATGAATATAGAAAATAAAAGGCATAAAAGTGATAATATAAATAATACATGCCTGTGGCATTGCAGATTGGGTCATATTAACGACAAACGCATTTCCAAGTTACATAAAGATGGATACGTAGGGTCAACTGATTTTGAATCATTTGACAAATGCAAGTGTGCCTGTTAGGCAAAATGACCAAGTTCCCTTTACTAGAAATTGAGAAAGAACCACAGAACTGCTGGGACTAATACATACTGATGTATGTGGACCCATGTCAATAACTGCCAGAGGTGGTTTCTCTTACTTCATCACATTCACTGATGATCATTCTAGATATGGTTATGTATATCTGATGAAATTCAAGCATGAAGCACTTGAAAAGTTCAAGGAATTCAAACTTGAAGTAGAGAAACAAACTAGTAAAAATATACTCACGCTAAGATCAGATCGAGGTGGAGAATATTTAAAGGGAAAATTTTTAGATTATCTCAAAGAGAACGGGATTCTCTTGCAGTGGACTCCGCCATATACACCGCAACATAATGGTGTATCTGAACGGAGGAATCGCACTTTGTTAGACATGGTGCGATCTATGATGAGCCATGCAAACATCCCAAAATCATTTTGGGGTCATGCACTAATTGCTGCGTGCTACACACTTAATCGTGTCCCATCTAAATCGGTCGACAAAACTCCATACGAGCTATGGAGAGGAAAAAGACCAAACTTATCTCATATGAAAGTTTGGGGCTGTGACGCTTATGTAAAGCGAAATGAATCAGATAAACTTGAGGCTAAATCTGACAAATGCGTATTTGTGGGATATCCAAAGGAGACAATTGGATATCAATTCTATAATCCCGTTGAGAAGAAAGTGTTCATCTCAAGGCATGCCATATTCCTAGAGAAAGAGTTTATTCTAGGAGAGGGTAGTGGGAGCAAACTAGAACTTGAAAAAGTTCAAGAATCCACAGACACTGTTGACCAATTAGATGAACTTGAGTCTGATCCTACACCTGTTAGTGGACAGACTCTTGATCAGGATATAGAGAACCCTGAGGACACTCCAGCTCAGCGTAAATCAAGCAGGATCATTCAACCTCCCAGAAAGTACGAATTCACGATTACTAATCAAGTATTATTAATCGAGGATGATGAACCTACAAATTACGCAGAAGCAAAGTCAAGTGTTGATTCGAAGAGATGGCAAGATGCCATGGAACCCGAAATGGACTCAATGTATGAGAACAAGGTTTGGACCTTGGTCGACCTTCCAGGTGGGATAAAATCGATAGGTTGTAAATGGGTTTACAAGAAAAATGTCGATGTGGATGGAAATGTCCACACATACAAAGCAAGGCTAGTAGTGAAGGGTTACACACAAAGACAAGGTATTGACTTTGATGAAACTTTTTCGCCTGTAGCCATGCTGAAGTCCATTCGAATTTTGCTTTACCATGATTATGAGATATGGCAAATGGATGTCAAAACTGCTTTCCTTAATGGAAACTGCAAGAGGAGGTGTACATGACACAGCCTGAAGGTTTTGAATCCAGAGGAGCCAACAAAGTATGCAAGCTAAATCGATCCATTTATGGATTAAAGCAAGCCTCTAGGAGCTGGAATCTTCGTTTTGATGAAACAATCAAAATGTTTGATTTTATCAAAAATGAAGATGAACCGTGTGTTTATAAGAAAACAAGTGGGAGCGCAATCGTATTCCTGATATTATATGTCGATGACATATTATTAATGGAAAACAACATCCCAATGCTTCAATCGGTAAAATTATGGTTGTCAAAGAATTTCTCCATGAAAGATATGGGAGAAGCAACGTATATCTTGGGAATCAAGATCTATAGAGATAGATTTAAAAGATTACTAGGCTTATCCCAATCTTCGTACATAGATAAAATCTTGAGAAGATTTAATATGAAAGAGTCTAAAAGAGGATTATGCCCCATGTCACATGGGATCTACCTCTCAAGAGATATGTGTCCTAAAACACATGATGAAATGAGTCGCATGGACAAGATTCCTTATGCTTCGGCGATAGGATCTATCATGTATGCGATGCTATGTACAAGACCAGATGTTTTGTATGCTCTAAGTGCTACGAGCAGGTTTCAAGCAAACCCTGGTGAGACACACTGGATAGTGGTTAAGAACATTCTTAAGTACTTAAGAAGGACTAAAGATGTGTTCTTGATCTATGGAGGAAATGAACTGAAAATTTAGGGGTATACTGATGCTAGTTTTCAAACTGATAAAGATGATAGCAAGTCTCAGTCAGGATATATGTTTACTCTCAACAATGGAGCGGTTAGTTGGAAAAATTCCAAACAGGAAACAACCGCTGATTCAACAACAGAAGCCGAGTACATAGCTACTTCTGAAGCAGCAAAGGAAGCTGTGTGGATCAAGAAGTTCATTAATAAACTTGGAGTTGTTCCTAGCATTGTTGATCCCATACATTTGTATTGTGATAACAATGGAGCCATCGCGCAAGCGAAGGAACCGAGGTCTCATCAACGATCCAAAATGTGCTAAGGCGATATCATCTCATCAGAGAGATTATACAAAGGAATGACGTAACGATAGAGTGAGTTCCCACAAATGATAATATTGCAGATCCACTGACAAAGTCGTTGTCACAACAAAAACAAGATCGTCATGTGGATCCTTATGGTATTAGATACGTGAGTGATTGGATCTAGTGCAAGTGGGAGTTTGTAAGTGTTATGCCCTAAATCCAATCGATTTAGGTTGTAAACGCTTTTAATATATTTAATGCATTTGATTTTGGTGAGATCTATTATTTATTTAGATTAATTTTGTAATAAATAATATTAAATAATAGAATCCGAAGATCCAATTTTTAGGTAATCTGTTAATCACAAGGAGTTGTGATTGTGAGATACAAATTACATATAATTGGATCTTGAATAAACCATGGTCGTAAGTAATAACGAGATACGGATATCGTTAATACAGTTAGACCATCACGTGTGGCATTTCTTACTTGTGAA